CCTACACTTTGGCTGTATAGTAAATGTCCTTTAAGCAAAAGTAACTTATACACTGTTCCTAGTACTAGGATGGGTTAAAAGCAGAGAACACATTTCACTGTGTGTGCTGTGTGCTCTGCATGTGTGACCATTAAAGAGGGTTTCATCCCTCCCATTCTATTCTTTTCTTTCTAACGCTGTAGAAATGCCTACGGGAACCATGTTGGGGTAAGTATCTTAGCACTTAGACATTTTGACGACACTGGTTAGGGATCGAACCACTGACCCTCGGATTGGTGGTACAAAGCAAGGTTTATATACTTCCAGTTCAAGTATGGTGATAGCTAACTTGCAAGCTGTCACTTCTAAAAATGTGTAATGTTTTTTGACAAGTCACTTTTGAATCAAATCTCAATCAATGACAATACACAAAGCAGTTAAACCATAGGCAGGCAGAAGTTAATAAAACAACTATTATCGATAAAACATAAGAATAGCTGAGTAAAATCTTACATCAGGTCAGTATAAGTGCAGTTCTGGCAAATCAGAATGACTAAGAACAAAACTAAAGTCAATGTGTGGATTGAAGCCAGCAGACTCTCAAGCGAAGTAGCAAAGTGTGAAATTGAAATCTAACCTGGAACACGGTGACGATGGCCCACAGCAGAGAGTCAAAGTTCTTGCGGTCGGGGACGGTGTCTCCGTTCTCCATCTCGTGACTGAACTTACAGCCGAACAGATGCATGCCCAGTATACTGTGGGAGATAAGACGATGCAGTCATCCTTTGGGGGTCTTAACAAATGAGGAAGTTTGATGTGTGTGTGTTTGGTGTGTGTGCATACCTGAAAGTGAAGATGAAGAGCATCAGCAGCATGCAGAAGGTGGCCACGTTGTCCATGGTCTTCATCAGCACCACCAGCTGTCTCCTCAGGGCGGGCAGGAAGCGGACCAGCTTCAGGACCCGCAGCAGACGAAATGTTCGCAGGACGGACAACCCCCCGTCTGCTTGACCGATTATCTCCCACACACTGAGGAACACACACCGAATGTGAGATACAATACTTTAGGGGTACTGTAGTGCACAACCACTATATGTAAACATAACTCTATGGAAAAGGGCAACATTACAATGTGTTGAATAGAAAGAAGATGTCTAACAAATTCCAAATACAAGATCATTCACAGGCTTCATGTTTCATATGTGCTCCACATTTTGTTCTGGGATTAGACACCAGTTATGAATGCAGACACAGTTATAATCTAAGAGTCTCCTATTAGCATGGTTTGAACAACTAATGTCCATTTTGCCATTGGAGAGATTATCATATGTTTAAAGAGGAACTCTATGAGTCTGTAAGGGGCTGGTAAAAATAGCATTAACCATGAGTGTTGGTACTATTGGGGTAACAAATATAACAGTACTCACTTGTTCACTATTTTTGTTCAGTGGTGTTTTGCTTAAAGTGTAGGTCCTTGTATCGTATAATCTAACAACTGTTTGATGCTAATGTGTATATTTTAGCATTTCAAATCAATGCTTATATGAATATGCTAATAATATGTTACATATATTATTGTCTTGAAGATACTTAGTTTGAGTAAATCATTTCATGTTCAGAACCACAAGTAACCCAACTACACGTATACAGAAGTCCCCTGATCCAATATGGGCTCTTTTAAACTCGCTGACAGCCACACAGTACACCTCGACTCCTATCAGGATCCAGGTCTCCTGCCCCTGTGTGTCAATCTTAAAAGGTACACACTGCAGCAGTGAACCCAATGATTGACAGTCAGGAGAAGAAATAGGATCAGGGACTCAGTTGTCTAGTTCAGTGATTCTCAAATGGGGGTACGCGGACCCCTAGGGGTACGTTGGGGTACTGCAGGGGGTACGTGAGATTTAAAAAAAAAAAACGAAAAAAAGTTAATTAAAAAAATACCATGCATGATTACAAAAATAATCTTAGTACAATAAGTTAAATAGAAAACACAATTTTATATAAAATATTCCTAGAACCACCAAGGGGGTCCTCATATAAACATGTCAAATGTGTGTATTGTATTTTATAGTTTTGCATAACATATCATTTTGTTCATTGGTTTGTTAAACAGATATTACTTCAGTTGAATGTCGTTATTTTTTTTCATGCATAAAATGAAAATATCCTTAGTTTGTTGTAATGCATGAAGGAGTTAATACATCACACACTGAGGGAACATCAATATATTGGAATTATTTGTATAGGCTTTTTCGATCAAAAATGTTCGGGGTCGGTCAGGGGGTACTTGGCCGAGAAAATGTTTCAAAGGGGTTACATTACTGACAAAGGTTTGAGAAGCACTGCTCTAGTTGGTGAAATCTACACTGATGGAGCCATTGTTCTGGTGTATTTGCATTCTGTTCTTGTTTTGGATTTTGATGATATCAAATGTTATTCTCAGAGATATTTTATTACCTGATGATCACGATGACGCTGTCGAATATATTGTATGGGTTCTTGATGTATCCGAACAAGCCAAAAGCCAGCAGCATGAAACCCATCTCCAGGACGAACATGCTGGTGAACACGATGTTACTGATCTCCAAAACATCAGTCAACTCCTCGGGCTGGGGGAGGGGGGAGAGGGAGGAAGAAAATAGGGATGGTTAAAAGAAGTAAGAAAGACAAAAAGAAAGCAAACGTGAGCAAAATAGAAAGCAAGCAAGACAGTAAAGGAAGCAAGGAGGCAAGAAAGTGTGGTTGAAAGAAAGAGAGAAAGACATAAGGAAAGAGAGAAGAAAGAAAGTGCGCAAAAGTAAGAAAGCAGGAAGCCAGAAAGAGAAAACAAGCAAAAGAAAGAAAGAAAGAAGGAAAGAACAAGTTAGTTAATATCTCCACACTTTATTTTCCCTGAGTTGTAAAAGCCTGTGTGTTTTTGAGCTGAGACTTTATAAATCCAGTTCAGAGTACGGTCTCGCCCCATCACTCAAACAGGACCGGCAGCAGCCATCCATCAGTGTTGATCTGCTCCGCTCACAGAACAGTACAGTCAGTGATCCAGCCCGTCGTTAAGCATGTAGTCTTTTCAATGAAAACACAGCAATTATGTGCTCCGGTAAACGCATCATATCATTTTTTATTATTGAAACATTTTGCCATCATTGATCTCAACGTGCTGGTTCAGGTTGAAAGCTGTGAATTGGGTTCTATTTCTTTCTCATTTCAATATCCATCTATCCGAATCAAAGCATTAAATGAACCAATAAATTGCATCAAATTGATTTTAACGCTTGTCTACAAGGTGGAACAGAGATCCACAATTAAATCTACATATCTAATCATTGTGATAATCTGTTGTAACAATCCTACTTTTCCTTTTCCTGGAGTCTTTTATTATTCAGTGCAGATGAGCTCTTAACTATACATGCTTAAAGTGAGCCTGGAAGTTTAAAAAGCCATTTAGCTTCTGGTCTCACATTTTATTTTCACGCATGGCAGTCTCATTAAAACTCATTGGGATTCTTTTCATGTGGGGATCAACTGGGAAAAAGAAAACACTTTGTGTCCCAGCCCAGACAGAGTCAAATCCAGCAGACCCAATTCCCAACTAATAAACATTGAAGTATTAAAGGTCCCATGTCATGCTTTTCTGGTTGTTACCCGTCCTCTTGTGTGTTATGAAGCTTTTTCTGCATGTAAACGGTCTGCAAAGTCACAAACACTCAAAGTACACCCTGTAGCGAGTAAAACTCTAACACAGAAAAGACCTGTCTATGCTGCCCCAGAACGCCAATTGTTTTCTTCCCTGGGTACGGTGACATGCCCATACCCAAATGGACCCATTGGTCCAAATAGACCAATCCCTGTAGCCGTTACGTTACGTCCGCGGAGCCGTTACGTTAAGTCCGTGGATTGGTCCAAAAGGATCAACCCGCAGACTTCCTCACACACACACACTCAATCTTTTCTCAGCTGCAGCTCGGCCGATTTCTCGCTGTGAGTCGGTGCGTGAGCACACACACAAACTCCCAGCCAGGCTGCGGGTGTGTGTGTTCGGGCTGGGTTTCGCTGTGTCTCGCTGTCTCGCAGACGGCCACTGGGCTCACAGGGAGGGCGGGGCAGGAGCTCCAACAAGCCGTTTAGGACAGAGAGTGAATACACAT